CAGTCTTCTTCCTCTTTCTCTTTTCAATTTTCTTAACCTACCTGATTTCACCTTTGTGGGCATTGGTATAGACAAGACTCTGATGAAGCTCGAGACCGAGTTTGGTTTGACATGTAAGAATGCAGTCGATGTCGGACCAACCACGTGGAACCTGAACAACAAGACCACCGGTGAGAAAGATCTGATTGGTACTATTGTTTTGACTGAGAAACCAACAAGCGTCGTCTTTGAAGACTGGGATAAATCTCTTCTCAACAAGAACCAGATTAAGATCGCCGCTTCCAATGCGTACTTTGCTTTTGCTCTCGGGAACATTCTGTTGAATGGGTTGGAATTTTAAGTTTATGAGTCTAGACGTCTGTTTGGTTTCCTTTGCTTCTTTTTGTTATTGTTACCGATCAGTCTTTTGTTTCAAGTTTGCATTTCAACGGTCGTTTAGGGACGTTCTTGTAACCACCTAAATCTGATAGGCCACAAGGTACAATATTTGGAAACATTTAGACCAGATTTTAAATATTTTCTGTTCTCGTTAACTATTGGACTGGGCCTGATAATTAAAAAAAAACGAATTCTTAATGTAGATGCTTGTTTTTTTTACATAACTAGGTAACTAAATAGTGATGATTAGATAATAGAAGAGATAGTTGAATTCAAGCCCCACACGATCCATCAGCTTGATGTGTCTTGACGTTGGTTTCCAAGAGTGGTTTGAGACGTAAAACAATTCGAATCTTGTAGAGTACCCAATAAGAGACGATGATCCAGCAATAGTTGATCAAAAACCTCGTCACAAGAAGAAACGGTTCATTATAGTACTTAGGCGGAACGCAGTTGAATGCATGTGTTGCTCCACAGATGAAGAAGAACAAAAACAAGAGATGTTTGTGATTTGATGCAGCAACTTTAAACTCATTAGCTTGATAATCATGAATACGATTCCAAAGATTCAATTTCATGTAAGGGAAGGTTATAATTTTTTGCACTTCAAACATGAAGACAAAGGAAGTCACCAAGAATGAGAATGAGATGGTTGTCCCAATATCAAGAGAATCCCCGCGATCTTGTAAGACTTCTTCAACAACAAACTTCATCATGCTAAAAAAAAACTCCTGCTAACCGTATATTTGTACGAGTATGAACAATTTTTTTTTCTCATTTACTAATTATTAGATGGAAGAGGCCAGTGTCAATACCATCGTCATAATGGGTATTTGGTTTTTAACCAAAAGAGGAATAATACACATGCAGGTTGCATAACAGACCCTTCTTTTTAAGTTATAGTCACATAGTCTTATACGTGGGATACTTGGCTTGTGTCTTTGCTTTTCTTGCCAACCACCACGTTGTATTTGCTTGGTTGGGTTCGTAACACCATTGCTCTTTGTTGCTATATCGTTAGGGTTTGTTATTTTCGTGGTTTCATGTGATTCACAACAAGAAACGATCCAAGCCATAATATCTATCTTTTATATATATGTTGGTGTGTTTTTGATGTAAATAAAGAAAGATGCGATCTTTTAGTCTTATGTTTATCGTTTGATGTGGTTTTGATGTATATATATGTTGGTGTGTTTTTGATGTATATATAAAACAAAAGGATCCTCTTTTCTGGGGTTGTTGTTGTTTATTCCTTACTTGTATGATTTCTGAAAGTGGGTGAATTCTTCTTATCTTAAATATTTTGAAGCGTGGTTTATAAATTTCTTAAGATTTTCTTTCTTTTGATAGTTGCTACTGTATTGTCTTCATTGGTTGATTTGTTTGTGTAAATTTATCTAAGAGAGTTTGTTTTGATTTCACTTATCAATTATGCTAAAAAAAACCCATAAAAGCTTGTCATTTGTCTTCTTAGATCACAGTTTGCAATCAGTTTGCAATCTGTTTGCAGATATTACATGTTCGAGTAATTTTTAATAGATAGAAGCTGATCAGTATATAATTTTAGCTCTCGAACTGCAATTGACTTGATATTACATGGGTTAATGATCTG